GTCATTTTCAATGACTCCTCCAAGGAAGTTTATCGGATCTACATCAAAATTGGCCAGTACAGTCAAAAAACATTGTTGATTAAAAGTTGTGCTACGTATGAAGGTATGTTGTCTGTGGGGTGCCATCAAAATCAGCCATTTTGAATTTTGTGGTGACTTTCGGTCATTTTTTCACATTGTATTTGAATAAAGTCCGCCTAGGGAATTTATCGGATCTACTTCAAAATTGGTTAGTACCGTCACAAAATATTGCTGATTATGAGTTGAGCTTTTTGAGACTGTACGTTGAAGGGTGTGTCAGTGGTGTGCGGTCAAAGTTGGCCATTTTTAATCGAATGTCAAACTGTGACGCCATTTTTCGGCAATTTCAAGGCTTCTATTTGAACAAACTCCTCCTAGTGAATTGATCAACAACTTCAAAATTATTGGGTACAATCCAAGGAAGTTCAGGATGTTACATTATTAAAATCTTTACATTCGGTCAATCGGTGTGTCCGTGGCGTGCCTTCAAAAATCAGCCCTGACATGACAATGGAAACCCAACTTTTCATCGATTGGTTACTGATTGATCGACATCTGAGCATGTAGATTGACTATGCCTTGCTCCCACGCGGTGCGGTGGCCACTGAGAAAGTCTCCGGGTCACAATTGTTGTTGGGACTACAGGAACTTTACAAATTCATTTGTCTCCCCAGGTCACTTTCTGTGGCCAGTAGCTTTTAGCAGTAGGTTTTGGGGATGGCCATTGGCAAATTGGCACCCCCTACAGCTGCTAGTGCCCCTGCTTGCTGAGAAGGTGCCGTGCACAGAAGCTGTGTGAGTAGGGGAAAGGGGAGGGTGTTGGGGGACAGTTCACCTCGTGGTCTCCCTAATGGAACGGACAAGGGGGCGAACGGGGGATCCACTGTAAGTCAGTCACACATCGACTTTCTTCCAAATACACATTTAATGCGCACATTTAATTTATAATATAATAAATACAGGTCTATAGTTCATGCACATTTTTGTGTAGGTAATACAAAACAATTATGTGGTCACCAAGGTTCTCTAAGTTCTGATAACTTGTTTATTGTCTTGGCAATGTTGGAGGTGGAGATGTGTGTGTGCACCCTAGAAAGACGGATTTGTGCAATCGAGAAATATAATTCTCTGCTTCACTTATGTTGTTATAATAAAACATAACAGTTTGTGCAGGGGGGTGGGGGGGCTTGAAGGGGTGTCATTCAAGATAGAACCGCAACTGTTGATCGGATTGACTTCAGATTTGGACACTAAAGACATTCACAATTAAAAGTTGTGCTATTTACGACATTCCATCAAAGGGCGTGCCTGTGGCGTGGCGTCCAATTTCAAGGACTCGCCATGAAAATGGAAGTTGTCATAACAACTGGCAACAGGAAGTAAGCGCTGCATGGCGATTTTGATCTTGCATGCCATTTTCATGTTGTGGTCCACACATGATAAGCTGGTGTATCACATGGCCACAGCACACATTGCACAGATTGCAAATAATTGTTGGTATTTTTACTATAATTACAACATTATGAACTAATAATATTGATAATATTGATTACAACATAATGATTTTTAAAATGTTCTTTACCTCAAATTTTAATGTGATTATCCAGATAGTAATTTGTAGATATACATGAGATTACATGGTGTAGGAATAGTTTATATCGTGGCAAGCCAATTAATGCATTTCTTCTTTAAGAGAGATATCTGTTCTTGTTTAAATGTTTTAATTAGGTGTATTAAAATAATTGCTGTTTCTCATTGTGTGTAGCATGAAGGGACTGCAAACTTAAATTTCCTCAAATCTGTACTTAAGTCCAGTACTCAAGTAAGTTTACTTAGTCACTTTGCACAATGTTTCCACAACTTTTCATATATGATTAAAA